GGTTGGGGTGAGTGGATAGAGGAGAGACAAAAGAAGAAAAGCAACAAGACACAACAATCAAACACTGGTCAGGTTGATGTGGCCAGTGACTGCTCGTCAGAGATGTAGAGCTCCAGGGCCAGGGCAACCTGCAGAAAGGTACAGGGAGAGAGAGAGGACACACTACGGGAGAGAGGAGACACAAAGTTAGTAATGTGTAATGGTGGCATATAGAAGCATAGGGAGAGAGAGGGGAGGAGAGGAAGTGTTGAATGCTTGTGCTTAAAACCATTAGTTAGATAATACATATCATAGGACTGTTTGTCACCTCTATTTGGTTTGTTAAAATGTCATTATTGCAATCTTCTAACACCATCACAAGTACGCGGTGCATTCAGAGACACTCTGTCATATGAAATTTGAGTCACAGGTCAAACATTTGAATCCAATAAACAACCAAATTAATGAATATGTTTCACAGTGTAGGTGTTTGATTATTAATGGAGCTTCTGACAACACAGATAGTGAATCTTTTTTAAATTTTAGATTGCAGGTCTGCAAATGCATCATCAACAAAAGATTTGAAACGGGGTTCTGCGTGCGGCTGCAGTGCTACGCGGTGGTGCTCACTGGTCACTCTTGTTTGGCTTTGACAGTAGTCTCTTGCATCCTAGTTCTCTTTTTGTCTTTGGCTGAACAGCACAGAGCAGAAATGTAGTGAAGTGCAGGATTCTCTCAAAGCTCTCAGGCTATGAATCATCTTAATGTAGTGTGTGCCAGCAGGTGAAAATGACGCAAATTTGTTCCCACAGTGAAATATGCCACACACTGATCCTCCTCTTGTGATCAGGTTGGTGTACAATCAGAGCCATTTTGTTTCCACGCAGGCACCACATTAAAAGACGGTTAGATAATCAGTAATTTTTGTGTGTATACAACAGTGTTCCTGAAATTGCCAGTGGAAAGACAATTTCTTTCTCACTTTGTTGATGTTAGACTCATAGGCCGATTAGTTTATCTGACATGACAATGATATCTAGACCTCAAAATATTAAGTAATCTAGGTTTTGCTATGATAACCTGAACATTTTGATAGGGGTTTAAATTCTTCAGTTTTACAGGGTGTTGCTGAGTGGTTAGAAATGTGAGTTATTTCTATGTGCCTATTACCTTAAATGAAGACATGGAGAGAGGACAAAAGGAAGTGGGATATCTACACCAGCATGTTAAGCAGATCTCAGCCACAAAGGAGAAACTCTGCTATCTGACAAAGCACAATGGAGGAAAATATAATGTATGCAAATGAGGGAAACAGACAAAGACCCTTTTCTTCTCTCTGCGGTATGTCGACTGTATCAGATTCCTAACCCTCTTTTCAGCCAATCCACTGTGCTCAAACTGCATTATAGAAAAAGATTTTTCTAACAGCATTTGCCTCTTTGCTGCATTGCGCTGCACATGGTTAAATAAAACTGCATGTGAAAGCAGTGTTTTAATTGTATGGTCCTACAAAGTGATGTGACCACATAATGAAACTGGATTTATTTAGATGGTTATACTTGGAGCTTGATGTAGAATTGAATGCACCCATATTCAGAACTAATGACATTATTGAATAGGCAGCATTTGAATCAAGAGCAGTAATTAAAGTGATGTTGTGAAAATGTTTTCGGGTTTCTTTTGGGAGTCTTCAGGCCCACTCCACCAGACTTACAAACAGCTTCATCCTCCGGGCTGTGAGGATGCCGAACGCTGTCCATTAGCCCCCCAATTTTAGTTTCCTAAATGGTATGGCTTTCAATACTAGGTGAGATAAACGGTATTTCGATTTTCTGTACATCCTGCACATATAGTGAATTGACAATAAAAATCTTTGATCTTGATCTTAGTTGTCTATTGAGATTCACACTTCATAATCACTGTGGTCTTTTTCAAAGAAGAAAAAGAATGAAATGAAGGTGAAGTCAAGTCAATTGAAATAATTTTGTAGGTGATTTTAAAAATTGTTCTGTTTTGTGTTTTGCAGCTTCAAGGATCTTTGCGGCGGAAAATTGAGGGTCATGCACCAGGACACACACCCAAGCAAAATGGTCTCGCCTGTGGTTTTTCTGCTTCAGACTTTAAGAGGGTCCGTGTGGATACCAGTGGTCTAGGGCATGGGCCCTGCAACCATAGCATGACCCAGTCTCACTCTCTGCAAGAGTCATCAAGCATGGGTATGCCGAGGAAGAATTACATGATACCCCATGCCGTGGGATCAGATCTATTCAACATGACCCTGAAAGAAATGAAAAAAGAGCCCATTGAGGTCCAGTCTTGTGGCCAGTCACATGCAGAGATGATTTTTGACTTCAAAGATGAAGGTGGTGGTCAGATTGACCCAGAGCTCCAGGATCTGTTTGATGAGCTGACAAAGACAGTGCCCCCGCTGAATGACCTGGATTTTGAGAAGATGCTAAAGCAGGATGATGCATTTGGATTGGATCTAGGTCGGCCAAGCTCTGCAGGAGCAGCAGCAAGTCTGTGTTCCCCAATGGAGAAGCCGGTAAAGATGGAGCATTCGCCAGATTTTGGCCAAGTTCACTGTGGCTCACCGCAGCTTCGACCAGCCTCGGCAGGGCCCTCTTTCACGCTGACCAGCACCTCTTCTACCACCACGTCACAGAAAGCTCCCACTCAGTCAGGACACCCCCGAGCCATGCCCTGCTGGCCAGAAATATCCCATGCAGAGCAGCTGAAGCAGATGGCAGCAAACCAGCAGCAGCCGAGCTCTCTGCTCCATCACCACCACCAAACACCACCTGCAGCACTGACCAGCTGGGCTCCTGCAATAAGCACCCACTCCTCCACTAGCACCTTTCTCCTGGACAAGGTCTCCAGCCCAGCAACGCTTAGCCAGCAGAGGAACAGCTCCCAGAGTAAAGGGATTAACAACTCTTTCTTCAAGTCAAATGGCCACAATGGCTCCCATCATTTGGACATGAAAGTCCTCAACACCAAGCCCACGTTGCACTTCAGTCCCAAAGCATCCCCTTCTGTCAGCCAGCCGACAATTGTCATGGCAAGCTCAGCGAACAAGACTTCGGCCCCACAGCAGCAGTCACTATCCACAGGCCAGAATCAGCCACGTTCACTTCTCCACTTCCAGAATCAGCAGATTTCCACATCAGGGGCCCTATGTCTGCAGCCCAAGTCCATTCCTGCAGGGCTGCCTTTCAAAATGTCACAACAGCAACAGGTAAGGACTCTGTCCAGACCCCCTTCACACATGGTATTATGTGAAAACCTTGGATCTCCAAGCTTTTAGGTATTTAAACAGAATGGCCTTGTGTTTGTCTTTATGATAGAGCATAGTTTTTTATGAGCTTAAGATGTTTTCCAGCTATATAAGTGTGGAATTGTAAACAATAAAATCACCAGATTTGTGATCTAAAAATTACACCTAGAGCCAAAGTATGAGGTATGTGTTTATAGTTAATGGCATTAACCATAATCTATAGTGTCCCAGTAAAGTGCCATGACTTGAAAGTGCAATTTTTAATAATTACCAAGTATAAGAAGCTGAAAGTACATTTTCTGTTAGATCATCCAGTGTTTCCTTTCTTGTATGACTGTATTCATTTTGCATCGGATGTTGAATGACTGGCTTGAGTATTTTATTAGTCTGCATACACAAAATGGATGATGGCATAGTAACATAATAAACAGTCAAACCCACTCACTAGAGTCTTCCTCATAAGTTGGTTTCCTCAGTTTGCTTGCAGCTGCCAACCTGCTGTCTCAAACAGTAACAGTGCAATGCTGTTTGTTTTGGGACTTTATTGCTCAAGCCACTGTCTGCGCCTTTGCTGTTGAATATGCATTTCCCCTGAAAGTGTTTTGACGATGACACAGATTGCCAGAGCATGGTAGATTAACATGCAGGACTTCTAATTTCTCTGCTTGTCATGGTGGCTCCCTGTCAGGGCACAGATATGCACAGCGGGATTTGCTAATTGGAGGTTGTTAGCTACAAGGGACAAGTGGTGGAAAATGACAGTAATCTGCTTAGGCTGGTGCCGGAGGTTGAATCACTGATTTGTTATGATTCAGGAGATTTAGACTACCCCCCTTTCATTTTTGCACTAACAGTATATAGTTGTCTTTGTGTGAAATGATAATGCGAATCACATGAGAGCTCTCGTAACCTCTACAGATCAAGGGACGTGCTTGAGTGACTGGGAGAGGGCAGGGGGAGGGAGTGGGGGAGGGAGTTGCACAGACATGCTAGTAAACAATATAAGATGAATACCACATTGTGCGTGGCTATAACTGAACCAGTTTTACCACTATACCAGGGAGCCATTTACAGTCTAAACAGAACGTGTGGTTGTGCACACTGAGGTTGTCAGACTCCCCTAAGTAAAACGTTTTGATTATCAGAGGCTTTCTATGGATGTATGAGGCAGAAATATGCTAAATCTGTGAATAATCTAAATAAGAAGCAGCAGGACTCCACACCACCGGTGTCACAACATATCTGACAATTTATAAATAACAGTACATTTGATAAAGTGAAATTACTGATTATGTTAGAATTCGCATTAGGATATTTTAATTAATAATCAGTAATAATATTCCTGTAGTTCTAAATAAAGCCTATGTTATAAACATTAAATAACAGCAGTGCATAAAAAGGGGAAGAGTTGGACATCAAATAATAAAATAAAGCTTCAAAAAGATTTTGATAAAATAGTTAAAAATGTAACTTTTCCAAAGGCCAGAGCTCCTGACAGTAAAAGCTGGGTCATCTCTGGTTGGTACATTGCTGAAGACATGAGACAGGCCTTGAGTTCATAAAGATCTGGCATGACAACTTTCCAAAGGACATTTTATTCTATTGTGTAGTTCATTGGAACATATAAAAAGTGTAGACATAAAACTAGGGATATTATACCATAGAAATGGTGGAGAAGAAACAAGACATGTTAGAATTAAACATTTCTAAAAGTTTTTCCAGTCAGCACAGACAGGGTTACAAGTCCAGCTAATGAGAAGGGAACAGCTCACAGAGGGGAGAAAAAAGTCTCTTCTCACAGCGAATTGAATTAGTGATGCCAGTGAAATAGACTCTGAAAGAGGGCTCTGATCCCCTGTGTAACAGCAGTGACTAGCAGCGGACTTCCTCTCACTGAGTGAAGACCTGTTTTTAAAACGGCCGGAGATGTGAGCTTTGGTGCTTGTTTGAAGCTTCTTGCAGTTTCAAAATCGGCTGCTGAGTCAAACATGTCAAATTCCAAATCCACCCCTCTGCAGCTCTCAAACTGTGAGATCACACACACACACAGAAACCCTCACTCACTTAAAGTACAAATACATTCTCTGGCAGTATACGCTAGACGACGCTAATGCATAATGAAGTGTGGGTTCCTCTGGTTGGTGGGCATTGCTATCTCAAGGACAAAACTTTTGTGCTGCTAGTCACATCAATAGTGTAGCAGCGTTGTGCATTTAAACTGAAGAAAGGGGGGAATTCATGACGGCAGCGATGGCAAAAGAGACGATCCTTAAAAATGATTACAGCTCTTTATTATTTATTGTGTCTGAAATAAAAAAAAATCAATTCCAGTTTCCGCAGCAGTAGAAAGCATTTTGGGATAACTAAATACAAACCAGGTTCAAAAAGGATAATTTAGTTAGATGAATAGGATTGGTCTTGCTTTACTGAAATTGTTAATCCCTCCTTGATAGATTAATAAAATGTTTAGCTATTCAGTTCTGTAATTTTAAGTATCTAATTCTGATCAAGTAGAGTAAAACAGATGTAGTATCTTTGACTTAGGCTCTTTATTATTGAATGCTAATGTATGTTTGTATTTTTTTATTAAATAATTCATATTCAGTTTTACATTTACATCATTTGGCAGGCAGTCTTATCCAGAGTGACTTAAACACCTCCTCAGCACAAGACAATGCTGTTAAATTAAATGAAGACAGGCATTTGGCAGCAGTTTCCTCACCTCAGTGATGAGCTTCAGCTAATATAGATTTGCGTTTTAATACTACATGGAGGCCTGTACTTTGCTTCCTGCAGAATAGAATAATAAATAGAATTGTAACCCAGATTCCAGCTGCAGCTAAAGATAAAGTTTTGCTTACAGTAAATAATGACTCCTCAACTTTTCTTGAAGATCTTATGGCACCACATCCCTCAGATGGGGGGGGGGGGGGTGGGGGGGGGCTCAGGCTACTAGGGCACTCTGGCATGTGAAGGGAGTACTTGTTTCCTGGGAAAGGGAGCTGCGGCCAAGTCCAGATGCCGAGGGGCTCCCCAGGGATGTCGTCCTGAGCCCAGACTGGAGGAAGTGCAGTGTGAGAGCTGGCGAGGCTGGGCCTGGATCACTGTCAGCTGCCTGCGCTGTCGCAGGATGGGAGACTAACTCACTCCACTCCTTTTCTGAGGCCCAAGACACATGTGGTATTCATTTACAACAAGTTTGTGAAGAATGAGAATGGGGCAAAAAACATGGAAAACGGCTTTATGACACATCAGGATTACAGAGCGCATTACTCAGTTGAACATGCTAAAATGCCCCTCATTGGGGTTTTCTTACAGGAAACATGGAACAAGCCCTTTCCATTGTACGTCTGCAGGGAAAATGTCTGTGGTGGTCACAGTTTCTCACAGCCTTGCTAACTAGATACAGTGAATCAAAGCCAGTGACTCTGCTTTATAAAGTAACAGGAAAACCCACTGTTTTGATGGTTCAGTCCCTGTGTAACCTCATTGCCATGCTTGGTTTGCTGTGTGGGTTGAACTTGAGCAGAGAAGATGAATATTAGCTCATGTGAAACAGCTTGTGATTCCTGATGAGTTTCAACTTCCCTCATTCTCTAACCCGGTCTCGTTAGTTCTCTAAATTTCAGCCCCATTCATTATCTCTCTCTCACTCACACACACTTGCATCTCTGTACTCCCTCTCTTTCTGTTTTTCTCTTTGGACCACAGAGTCACCACCCTGTAGAGAGTCATCCTCTGCCTCAAATAAATCTGTCCTCTAGGTAACAGCCTCTGCTAAATGCACTGTTAGATTTTGAATCCACTTCACCCTGGGACACATCAACACAATGACTGACATTGTATACACAGCAAGTGTTGACTTGGATTTGGTGCACATTAATCTCTTTCATGACAAGTGCTTGCCCTTGGTAAAAAGCTCGAGCATAGTGAGCATCCTTGTGTCCCCAGAAAAGCCAGATTTAACTTGGATGATGTGCAGAGGTGCCTAAAAAAGAACCCATAACACATTAAACACCCGTGATGATGAAAGCTTATCTGAAAAAGCATGTGTTCAGAACAAGATTCTCTCCGTTTTATTTAAATCCTTACGACTACAACATTTTAATCAGCGTGATAGTGTCAGGAGCCTAATGGGTTTCCAGAGGCTGGAATTTCTTCTTGCCAAACACAACATAGTGATCAGTAAAGGAGAGCTTTTAAATGTAGGTAGTCATGGTGCTGGTGCTTAACTTCCCATCGGCACACATTCTTGCTAGCTCAGGGATTCTTTCCACTCTCTTTAGACACAATTATCAAGGGAGAAGCAGGCCTTGAGGAGGGCGCACACTCCCCCTTCCAAAAAAAGCCTCTCCCCTCGTCTCCCATTTTCATCTGCAGAGGGAGTAGCCTTGACCACATTCTGGGGGTTGAATAGCATCTTTGACACAGATCTGAAATGTCTTGTAGAGGTTTGCCCTCTAGTGGCCAACCTCTAATATTGCATGGTTTTGCACTGTGTTTTTCTGCAGCTTTCATGGCATTTGGCTCCAGTCTCCAGGCACTTAGCAGAGCAGAGCCAAAAAGATATATTTAGAAATTAAAAAGTAGCACCACTGACACTAATGTAAAAGCATCATGTGTCTCTTCTTCTTAGGGTGTTCCTCCTGGTCCGAGGCTGCCCACTAATGGAAGCTTAGGTGTTATGTCAGGCCAGTTGCAGCCACAGCCCCCAGCGCCCAGCACCCAACAGAAAAGCCCAGTCAGAACTCAGGCCATGCAGAGACAGCTTCAGCAACAGCAGCACACCATGGGCAATTCAGTAAGCTGTGTTTACATCATACAGCTTTCACCAATTAATAAGCAGTTCTGACTTTGAGAATCCGTTAATACTGACTAATCAAATAATTAGTATCCACAACTTCGTCTTTCCTTTTCAGGACAAAGACAATGCACATGATCAGTTCAGTCGTCATCTCACCAGACCACCACCTGATTATAAGCAG